AGTTGTCCCTGCCCATGGCAGGGGGGTTGGAACTAGATGATCTTTCAGGTCGCTTCCAACCCTAACCATTCTATGATTTTATGATGTATTACCAAAATAATTATTTCTATTGCCCTCATTGTCATTCACCAAAGAAATTAAAAACTGTCTCTAAACTTCTCTGAATTGAGATAGAAGTGTGTTGAATTAATGCATGGGTTGATCAGCATGTTCAGCATGTTCATAATGATGGATACATAATGCAAGTATATACATAAGCTGATATGAGAAGGGAAAAATATCTTTTAATCTATAAAGAAAGTAAGGATAGTTGTCAGAAGGAGAAATAAACTTGTCAAAGAGTTAAAATGAAGCTTCTTGAGTTTATAGAATAACTGAAAGTTGCCTACAGATTCAGTCTGTCAGCTGTGACTAGTGTTTTAAGTTCAGCGTTGTCTGAGTTGAATGCACTGACTAAAACCATAATATTAAGAATTTGAAAATATCACCAGAAAAGTAGAAAGTGCCTGTGGATTTCCTATGGACAGCAGGGAATGAAGTTGAGGGGTTACTGAAAGTAGTATTTTATTCAGTAGTAAATTTAGTATGTTTATTTAACAAGAATGTATTTCTCTATTTAGCAAGAAACTATTTCTGTATTTAGTAACTTTTGCTAGGAATAAAACAGACTTTTGTGCCGAGTACTCCCAAGAGAGAAGTTTGTGGGCACATTCAGTATGCTAATACATGCTTACCTCAGCCTTTGCTTTGCATTTTTCCATTAGGAACAGAGTTTTATCTTTTGGTTTCTTTGTTAGCTTTGGTCAAGAGTAAGATTTGGCTGATTTTCTACAGCCTTTTAAGGCAGATCATTGATTCCAACTAAATGATTGCCTCTTGGATGACAGACTACCACAGTATTTAAGAAAGCAAAAGCTTCTACGCAGCTTCTTACTTGCCTGTCTAATACCAGGCTTAGTAACGACTTTTCAAGACAGTATCCATACGGGAGTTAGGGGCTGTTAATTTACAGTTTTATACACCACAGACTAGTTGTACTCCAGATTTCCTCTCTGTATTTGGTCAGCTGATGTTTACATGCAGGAAAAATAAAATGGCATTGAAATTAACTACTACTGTTTAGAAAAAAAAAAGCTAAATAAATGAATGCCAGTTTTCTTCGTTAATACATTAATACTCATTGCAGAACTGTTAATGTCTTTAAAAGCTATTGCATGGTAGCAGTCAATAACTTTTTAAATCAGGTGATTCCAAGTGAAGAATGTGTAGCAGTTCTGTTAATTTTGATTTTTAAAGTTAGAAGTAGTAGAAATGAGTAGTAGAATAGTTAGAATAGTAGAAATTGACAGGCAAGAATAGTTAGAATAGTTAGAATAATAGAAATTGACAGGCAAGTTTACTCCTCAGCTGTATTTTTGTCTTGTTAAATTGCAGCCCACAGTAAAACTCCATAGCCAACAAACTCTAAAGAATGGGCTACATAACATCAAGATTCCAGGAGTTTATTGTTTGACTGGCCATGATTTATAACTTGGTATTAAATGAAAAAAAACAGTGAAAGTGAGGTATGCAATAGCCTCTCTTTGACTCTGAGCTAACATTTGCAGAAGTAAAGCATTTTCCTATAGAATACTCATTTCCCAGGTTAGGTAACAAATTATGTTTATAAATAATTTCATAGAAGTTTTTATTAAAATAATTGTGCTGCCTTCATATTCTGGTACTACCCCTGTCTGCCAACTATTTTAGCTCTGAATGAGTTCGCATACAAAGTACATCTAGCAATGATTTTAAGAACATTGCAAAAAGTTGTCTAATTTAATTACAGAGTTCTGAATCAAAAATTTAATTTGGGTAATTTTTTATAGACTATCTAAAGAAATCCATACAGAAAAGTTATTGTTTCACAAACAAAAAGCTGAATTGATAACCAGTCATTCTTACCTTGACAATTTCAGGCTATAAACAGGCCAACATTGTGATATTGCACAAGTCCCTGGCTGATGACTTTGAGAAGTTTTGCCATGCAAATAATGGACCCCTGCCACTGCTGTACAGAAGCAAACCAGGTGACTGGAAGTGTTCTCTGAGTAGTGATTCTGATATCAGGTAACTACAGACCAACTCTGCTTCTCAAAGTTCTTCAGTGAATGCTACTAATAATTAGGAGGGTTTCAGGGAACAGCCTGCTTACACTGTTGTACACTTTGAACAGTTTTTTTTTTTTTGAGTTATACCTTTGAATGAAAACTATGCATGAGTATAACAGCCTGATTCCCTTCTTCTTGAGAAACATGTTATGATAATTGTCAGTATTACAAGTATTTCTCTAAAGCAAAAGTGATTTTTTTTTTGTGTAATTTCTAAATATTTTGCAGTCTGAGCCAGCAGAATTAAATAATAGAGTTTTACCTTTGTTTTATTTATTAGTAATGTAGGCATGGTGACCACATGATATTTGTAGGGTCTCTGAAATTTAAAAGACATAGTCTTGTAGTAAACACTAAAAGCAAGACTTAAAACAGCTCCCTGATTTTTGAAGCCCCAAGACAATGTGTAAGAGACATTTACCTATAAAACTTAAAAAACAAACTCTAACACGTCCTGTTCACTGTGTTGTTTTTATGTGTAGAATAAGGTGTTCTGGGGTTTTGGCATGCATTTGTTTCATTATTGCTCAGAAAGAAAAGGAATGGATAAAGTAGGCTGTATCTTGTGGTTTGGTACTTGGTTAATGTCAAGTCAAACAATTTACCTTGTTTTCGAAAATCATGATAAAGCTGTGATAACTTCTTATTTCGCTAGAACTGATTGCCTACAGTACAGAATGTATGAGCATGGAGCTTGTACTGGATCACTGAAAAGCCTAAAGGAGTATTCCGAACAACTTAAGGACATGGTGACTTTTTATTTAGGCTGCAGCTTCTCTTTTGAAAAAGCAGTCCAAAATGCTGGCATTCCTATAAGAAACGTTGAGCAAAAATGTAATGTAAGCATGTATAAGGTAAGTACATGCACACACATAGTCTTTGTTGCAACTTTGCCTTTGAGTATTTGTCCATGTTCACATTATGTGCATGTTTTTCCTACCTACATAGTAACTTTAGGCATGTGCTAGTGCTCAGTGCATAGAAACACAGGGTAAAATATGCCCAGCATCAATTCAGTGCTTTTGTCAGGTTCCTGCAAGGTGGATCTGCTTTATCTTTCATTTACGGTGACAAAGTTTTTCCCTGTGTGCTATGACAGCCATTTCATTTGGGTTCTGTTCTGGTTTGCCTTCTCTGTTTCAACTGATGACCCATGTGCTATTCTGACCATACCTTTATGCATGTCCTGCTCTCCTTACCAGCTCTGGCTTGCAGTAGGAATATTCCTTTTATGAGCCATGACAGTAGCAGTTTCTTCTGCACGTACAAGAGCCACATTTTGTGGTTGTTTTTTTTTTTTCCTGTGACAATAGAGCCTTTCAACTGTGCATTTGCTATGAGCTCAGGCCTCTGGGTTAGAAGATGTTACCAAAAACTTAAGGTATCTACAATAGCACTGAAAATTACAACTGTGCTCAGAAAGTTTATAGTGCAGATTTTAATGTCAGCAGAAGTCCTAGAATAATTCTGGCTCCAGTACATAGGCCTTTTAATATTAAGCACACTTTAGTACACATCTGCATGCCATTTTTGTGTTGTTCATATGCTGTTCTACTAGACAAAGTAGTAGATCTTTTCACAATCTTCTTGCTATACTCTTGGTCAAAATGAAGGCGCAAACGTATGTCACGCATGAGTCCTTCTACCAAGCTTAAAGAAAAATACAACTATATATCTGCTTATAACATTTCAGAATTAGGAAAGTTTCATAGTTTATAGCAGATCAATACTGTGAAGAGCTGTACAGTGGGTTTCTTCAATGACAGGTATAATGATTTTTATCATAAAAATTGTTAGTGAACATTTTCTATACAGCTGTATCTGTCTACAGATCTTGTTTATGTTCAAATGCAACTTAGGTATCAGACATTTTGTTCTAAAAAGCCAGACTGCTACATTTCTGAATGGAAAAGGTGCTTCAGCATCCCAGTCAGTGAGGATGATGAATTCCATAGAACTTTTCTAGAGACACAAACGATTTTGTAAGTGTGCAACTGGCATGCTGCTTCTGTAGAAGTGGGTACTGCCAGCAGCAGGAGTTCTGACTGTTGCATGTTACAGAGCACTATAGCTCCCCTGAATTCAAATACAGAGGGCGGATTCAGGCCAAGAAGATTTGTCGCTGTGTGATACTTTTTTATTAGCTTTTTCCCTTTCTGTTTAGGGAGCACACCATTGTTTTTTGACAATTTTCAGAACGAGTGCTAGTATGCAGCCTTTCTAAACTCAAGTGCAGCACACAGTTCTAGACTTATTTCTTCTCATGCTTGAGAAGAATTATTTAATATTCCTGCTAACATCTTTGATTCTTTTAAACTACCAGACATCTGTGCCTTGCCATAGCGTTTCTACGTTTTGCTGCAACTTAGTAGTCACAATGAGGCCTATTCCTGAAAGCAAGTTGGAAGCAGCGGTGTTAGCAACATCTGAATTAAAAGAAGCCCATGGAGCACCAATTCACATGGGTGACCCTGGTCAGTGCTTTTCGTGTTTCACTCTGCATGCACTTTACTGGGTATAAAAATGGAGAGGGGAACCATGGGAAGTGGTAGGGCTGAAATATCTGCACCAGTAAATTTATTCTGTTTTAATCTTTCTAATGGTCACAAACCTGAATTAAAAAAAAAAAAAGAAAATAAAAAAAGAAATAAAAAGTAGGTTTTGAATGAGCTGAACGTGAAGACTTCTTGGATAAAAGTATCTGTCTGACTTAGATAAATTAAGTTATATGGCAGAAGTGGTTTTGGTAAAAAGTATAAGCACATTTTTCTAAAATGTCTGCAGTTTGGTTTATATGTGAATACTTTCTTGCTGTCAGAGATTCCAGTAACAGGGTAGCAGTGATTGACAGCATGGGGAGAAGTATGTGTGGATGCATTTTGTGTCTTAGTGAATGACTGTGAAAGTAGATAATGCATTATTTTTAAAAATACTGAAATAGGATACATTGAGCACAACACTTAAGACAGAATAAACAGAAATATGACAAGAATATATTTTTTTTTTAAGATCCAGCTCAAACAAGTATAAGCCTATTCTTTGCAAGGGAAAACTGAAAAATAATTTATTAAATAGGAGACTGTTTGGAAAAAAACAAAACCAAACACCTATAAGATTCAGATAGATCACAATAAAAAAAAAAAAATCCCCTTTGCTGAGGGGAAGTTGTCTATCAATATACTTATGGGCTGCATGCACAGAAGGATCATGTTGCAGGGCACGGAAGGTGTCATTGGTAACAGTACACCCCAGTAATACGTTTGGTTTGAGGGCTTAAATCTGAGGAACTAGCAGTAATTCATTACTTTAAGTAGAGCAACAAGCTGATTGAGCAAGTGAAGGTCTCCACTGTTTATTTGGTTTTAACAGAAAAGAGTAAATGATTATATATACAGATTATATAAATTAAGTCCAGAAAAAGACAGTGGCGTCTAGAGAATTTAAAACCAAGGGAAGAGAGCAAGTGCTTAGAATGACCCAGAATATTGCAAGTAGGTGTTAGAATAAAGCAAAAGACAACTTAGCAAAAGCTGGGTAAGAGTGAGATGTAGTTATCTATTTCGGTTACTCGTTTCTCTAGCTAAAGAACGTAGGAAGCTGAAGCAGAGGAAAACATGTTCTAGAAAGAACTCATTTTGCATTGCAGTCATTTATTCTTGTTTGCCAGTGTTACGAATATAATTCTTCTGTTGATAGAGAAGATTTATAATAGCTTGGAATTGGCATACACGTCTAGCTTGTGTTTTGTTGCAGAAATAAAGTAAATACATTTTTACTGATGTCATCAAGTACAAAAAGGCAGAACAAGTCAACTCGGGTTCTGGGGATAGAGACTCAAAGGCATACTAAATATGCCACTTCGGTGGGACTCGCCACTGTTGCAATTCCAGCTTAGCATCACGGAATGATGCTTGGGCTTTGCAGTAGTACTGCTTAATTGGAATCTCTCATGATTTCATTTTTGATCAATTCCAGGTCTGCTGGGAATACAAGATCTTTCCAAACCGGATTATGGAGATCCAGTTCACTTTCACCCTGGTGATATTCCAGTGTTTTGGGCCTGTGGAGTAACAGGAGTAGAAGCAGTCATCAACTGCAGTATTTACTATATTTGGAGACTTTTAAAATTATCCTTTAATCTCTTTTACTCGCTCTCTCTTTTCTACTTATTTTTTAAACATGGACTAAATCAGTTGGCTGATTAGCAGGCTTGATTTTAGAGTGAGCTAAAAACTAGCCCAGTCAAGCAACAAGAACACCTTAGGCAGGATTATTTTCCATTGTGAAATACAGGTCTACCTTCAAAGAAGTTCGTACTGAAATTCCATCACTTTTGTTTGAGTATTTTAAAGACAGAAATCTAAAGCTCTGGCACATTCAAAGCATCTTTTTAAAGGATTGTTAAAAACTAGAAAGTTTAAAGGCATTCTTATTTTGATTCAACGTTATCAAGAGCTAACAAATTGACCTGGAAAAGAATTTCAAGCTTTTAAGTTTTGTTCTAAAATGAAGTAAAGGTGACACACTTTACATAAATGAAGCTTTGTCCTCCACTTTATCCAGTCGTTTATAGAAGGCATGAGCACAAAGGGCAAGAAAATGCAACTAAATCGTAGTGACAGTATTATATACTGCTCTGAATCACTATCATATTTTAGTTCTTACTGAAAAAGAAGCGTAATCATCATAGGCAGTAGAATGGGAGAGCCTTGAGAGGTCATCTGCTTCGTCATTCTCTCCTTGCAGGATCTGCTCCATCCTTGTGGTCCTTTACAGATGTTTATCTAAACTGCTCTCAACACTTACTGTAAATATGTTCAGCACTAAGTGCAGAGACTTCTTTTTCTTTCTTACATACAGCCCCTTTTCTCCAGTCCCAAATCCAAACTGAAAATCCTTCTTTTTCCTGTGTTCTCCAGCAGTTTTATTGATCTTCCTCATGCATCCTTGTTGCAGGGAAAGGAGAGAACAAATTTGCCAACCTCTCTACAATCTCTTACCCAAAGCAGCTGTCTATCCTGCCTTTGCCTGGAACTGGCTTTTGCTTCTGTTTATTTCTCCATTTTCTATATTAAAACCAGTTGTCATTAATGCATTCCAGGAATTTTTTGGCAGTTTGCATCATCTTGTGCTCCTTTCTCATCTAGGTAGTTAAAATTCTGCCATATCACCAGTACCCATATGTTAGGTGAATCAGCTATCTTCTCATAAAATAATAGTCTACTCATGTGGTTTGGTGAGGTGTATTAAACCTTAACAACCATGTTCCCCAGCTGCTTTTAAATTACTAGACATAGACTCCCAACAGATCTAGCACAGACCAAGCATCTATGTACTTTTTAAAGAATTATCTTCTCCATTACACCATCCTAATAAAGTAAGATTTTGCTTGTTTAAGTATACTAGCTGTGATTTATCCAGAAACATACCGATTTTGCCAAATCAAGTATAATCTAGATCAAGACTTCTGGAATTAGCATAAAGACAGCAAATATTTTCAGCTTAGGGAGCTACTATGCTGTCGGGTCTAAATAAGCTTATTGTTCACCAGGGTTTTAGATGCTCCTCAGATTCCCTTTGCTAAAGGCTTACTAGTTACCTATTGTCATTATTCCTTGCCAGTTTATAGGTCTCCTAGCTAGTTCAGCAAGAAACTGTGCAGAGATGCTATTCCCCATTTTCTTAACTCAATAAAGGACTACTCCAAGTCAGTAGTTGACGTAGTTTTGTCATATCGCTATTACAAGGATATTCAAAGGTACAAGAGAGATGCTATAGCTGCCAGCAGCACTCTAAAACCTAAAAAAATAATGTATTCTTATGGAAACATTTTCACCTACATGCTGTGCAAACTTAAGCATTAACTTTTTCTTCTGTGGATGACTAGTTTCTTCATGCATGTCAAACTCAATTTTCAGACTTGCCAATCCTGGACAGACTTCCTTAGAGGGTTGCAGTTTTCAACTTCTAAGTTGCCTGAAGTTTAGATGAAAGAGGATATTGTAGAAAAACCTGATCTCAGCTACCCACATGAGTTTTTAAAAGTGAAAACATTTTCAGATATGTATGCATACATTTATTTCTCAAAGAGTATTAACTACTGCAGTGTAACTTAAAATATCACCTGGTTTTCTGGTATGTGTCATCAGGCAAGGACTCTATGTTGTTAAATTAAATAGCTTTCTGTGATTTTATCATTCTGATATTTCAATATATTGCAATAACAACGTGTTTATTTAAGTTTTTTCACCCATTTTAGGAGCTCCATTAGCTTTTACTCATTCTCCTGGCTGCATGTTCATTACCGACCTAAAGAATGACAATGTCACAGTTGGATCCTCAAGAGAAATCCCACAAGTCCACTGCATTTCTCATGATCCTCTGCATTATAGTGTTGTTTCAGCAGAAGCAGCCCAGAAGATACAGGCTCTAGAGACCCTAATTGCCATAGATCCAGGTAAAACCAAAAACTTTCTTCCTTTAGTGGATTTGTTATGAGACAGATACAACCTAGCCTGATTTTTTTCAGATATTCATAAGGTTCAAGAACACAGTAAGGATCTAAAGGCAATTTTAAGATTTTAAAAATTCTTTATGACATACAGAGAGTTCATATAACTAGGTCTTACATTTTCTGTTGCTGTACTTAGTATCAGAGTCTAAACAAAACCATTCAGCCCTACAGGTAATGGAATATCTGATCTTGATTACTGTATACTCTCAAAGTACACGGAAGCATTGATGCTTACAGCAGACTGGAGAGTCCATAGGGAATAAGAACTGTTACTGAGTAGAACTGAAATTGGTATGTAAAGTACAGGGCACCTCAGCATGCTGGTAATAGCTACATGGGTATTCACTAGTCAGTAAATAGCACGTTTCTTTACATATATTCATGACTACTGTGCTTGCACCAGAAAATTTAGTTGCATGTGCTTCTCAAACATCCGTCTCTGATGGGTGCAATTACATCAAGCTCTGCTGACATGTTCATTACAGAGGTGTTATGTGATGGACCAAAGTGACCTGATCATCACAGAAAGTTGAGAGATAGGGCTGTGCGTGTGAACAAGGAAGATGAGAAGGAAATAAAAGCAAACCGTATAGCGTAACCATTCCTAAAATACACAATGAATTAGTCCCCTCTGTCTGCTGTAAATTCTGGTCTCAGTTTCCCATCAATTTTCTGAAATCCGCTGTAGGCAGTAGTGGAAAACAACTTACATCCAGCTCTCCCAAACTCCAGGTTGGGGCTGTGTGCATATGTTTGAGTCTGTTTATTTTTACTCACAAGGCCTCTCCTTTTCCCAGTCTCAGGAGTTCAGCTTGGAACAATGCCATGCTCTGCAGAAATACAGGACCTAAGTTAAGAGTTAGCTGATTTTATTGCTAAAGGAGAGTACGCTACTTTATCTTAACTATAAATAGTTAATATATTTGACTTCTCACAGACTTATAGTCCCTGCTTCTGTTACTTAAGTTTTGTTCAGAACTTTTTTCTGTGTCCACTATTTATATATTGCCTGTACATTATGTAGGAGGAATAGAGGGAGAAATGGCAAAGGGGAAATTGAGGACAGAAAGAGGAAAGAGCGAGGCAGGGAGAAATTTGAAAAAGATGAAGATGTGAGGACGCTAGAAAACAGTAGTGAGGATTTACCTCTCGCTATCAGCTCGTGAATATTAGCATATCATGCTGGCATTTGTGGTTTTCAGGGGCGCTAGCAAATCGAAAGGACTGCACTGTGAACTTGTGTTTCCAAGTGCCAGGGAAGGGAGAGGGTATAGGAAGCGTTTGAACAATGAAAGACATACACGGATAACACAGCGTTACCTCTTAGGGACTGATACATGAGAATTGACATCCTGTTAACATTCACATATTTTTCAAGGTCAGGTAACATGGTTCTCTACAACACAAAGTGTTAAAAGATCTTTTAGCAGTCACCTGGATACCACTGTATTAATTGTGTTTATAGAGTCCCCTGGTAACTTACAATGTCTCTGAAACCTCTCTTCTGCGAGTAATCATTTAATTAAGTGGAATTTATTTGGGAATTAGCTCTTCCCTAAGGGGATTGAGTTAAAGAGAGACAAAGGACCAGCTTACTCATCTGAAGTCTGCGTCAAAGCTTCTGTAAGATCTGGAATGCTTGCATTGCAATCTAGCTTCAGTAGCTAGACATGGTCTAGCATGACTGTCACCACAGATCAGAGGAAAGCAGAGGGCCAGAGGAAAGGAAACAATATGCAGTAAGCTCTTAGAAAAAGAAAAAGCTATGTATACTAATACCTAGAAATGCTAGGTATGGTAATTTTCAAAATCCAGTTAACTAAAATTCTTAACCTGGAAGCACAGCCCATTATCTTCATTACTCATATCCTACACCTTCCTAGATTTCCTGAGGAAATTACCCCAATTCCTGCCTTGACCAGAGGTTTTTCTTCCTCTTTTTTTTTTTTCATTTTAACCCATGTTATGTCATGAAAGTGTGCAGGTTTACCCACGCAGAAACTTCAAAAGGAGAAGAATATGTTGAACTGTATTGCTCTCTTTAAAAACACTTTTGTAGGAGACCGGGGTATAATTCACCTACACCACCAGGGCGAGCTGCTGAAGGCTTGCCTGTCCATCTCCCATGCTCGGTCAGTGCTGATAACAACTGGATTTCCTACTCACTTCGCTTACGATCCGCCAGAAGAGAATGATGGGCCCCCGGGAGCCCTCGCTATTGCGGCTATGTTGCAGGCCTTGGAGAAAGAGGTTGCCATAGTAACAGATCAGAGAGCCATGAATCTGCATAAAAAGATTATTGAAGAAGCTGTTCAACTAGGTAAGACACGTTTTTGCAGGTTTTATCTTGCCAATTTGAGCCAAGGTTTGCTGCGGTTAATCTCACTGTCGCTTAGTACAGAATTTTTTTTTTTTTTTTTCCAGAGAACAAACCAGAGTTCACCCTCCAAGCTCTGACCAGTGTTGCTAGGATGATATTTTATTAAACTTAGCTGGCACGAAGTTAATGCTTATGTGCCTGGGTACTGATTCTGGATGTCTGTTCTTATTCTTGTAGACCTGTTTTCTATCTCAAGGTCTCATTTACTAGCATTAACATCCAAATTACTTAAAGTAAGGATGCAGGGAGCTTACCAGGAACTGTGTAAAGACATTGAGCCCTTAATATTCTAACTGTTTTGCCTGCCTTTTTTTTTTTTTAAAAAAAAAAAGTTACTCAAACACACATTAAAAAAAAAGTATATAGTTTCTGAATTGTATTTTGTTTTCCTGTAGGAATCCTGAAGAAACCTGTCCCTCTATTGAGTTATCAAAAGGAGAGTGCTGATTCAGCTTTAATGTTTTTGTGTGAGAATGGGAATCCTGAAAGACCTAGGTATGTGTGTTCAGTCATTGAAAATGGGTCACACCTCTACTGTGAAAAGTTAGAATAAAAATAATGAACATCATCTAAGAGAGAGTAATGGTTAAATCTTTAAGACTTGGAATAAACAGAACAAACTTTGAAGCCTAACATTGGTATTGGAGCACACCTAGAGTACAGAATTCCACGTTATTCTGCAATTATGCATTCTGGAGTACAAAAGAAGCTATGCTTCATATATCAGTAGCTCTTTTCCTTTGAAAAATTTTTAAAAGCTTTTCAGCTGTTATTCTATAGATACAGATGTACACACACACACTGAACTATTTTATCCATTTTAAAATCAGTGGGAAATCAGAAAGAGGAAGTATTACGTCAGAGTCAGAGAGAGCTAGGAAGAGAGTTGTGGAGTCTGTTCACTTTGTAGACCTTTGGCTCCAGTCTGACAACTGGGGGATCTGATTTGATTTAATAAAATATCATGTGTTTGTAATAGTGTGAAAGCAATCATCTTATTGTCATTAGGCAGCCAAAGCCAAAATTACAGATCCATGTATGCACTTCTCAATATTGATTTGAACTGTTTGCATATGCGTTGTTGAGAATACAATGTTGGGCGAAAGTTCAGATTTATGTGTGATTAGGGTTAATGCACTGGAGAATTTGCTAAGTCACTGTACACACATTTCATTACTTAGCAGGCAACTTACATTTCCTTTAAGTAGGCATACATTGCTCATTTTTATTGGTCTTTCACTGCAAAGCATTTTAATGTAGTTGACTTCAGTTTGTTCTCTTTAATGAAAAGGATCTTTCACCCTGATATTTGCTTCACTGACTTAATCAATTCCCATTTCTTTCCACAGGTTAGTGTATGCTATAATTGTATGCTGTAACAGTATGCACAATACTGTTTTCATTTTTTCTATATTGTTTTAAAAATGTGTTTTGTAGCTATGCATAATATAATTACAGCCGGTTTCTGTTTCAATTGATCCCACAGTCCCAAAAAGCTAAAGTAAGTGTTTCTTTCCAGTAGACAGCTAGCCTGCTTGAGTCACCTCTGGAGTCATCATAGATACCCACTCACAAAAACATTTAAGTAATTCAGCAGAACTAGTAACCTCTTAACAGTAAAACTGAAGAAACAGAAGCAAGATAACTTAATTCTAACATACAGTGGCAGAAGTGAGTACTAAAATTCCGCTTAAAATGTAGGATATTTGCAGTACATCCATCTACTTTCATAACTAGCGAAATAGCCATAGACATAAAGAAAAATCCCACAAATCTAAAGACCCAAACCAAAAAACTCCCTAACTAGAAACAAATGAACATTTGCCAAGCAATGTACTTTAAGCAAAAGCTATATTTACACTAACAAGGATTTAGATGATCATTAATTTGCTACTTTTTAGTTTTCTTTGAAAACACCTATAGAGACTGATGTCTCTATACAAGATATGTTGTATTTGAACATGAAACAGACCAAGGCCTTGTGGCTGATGCAAACGATTGCTGGTTCAGAGAATTTCAGGAACTTCTCCATTCTCGGAGGCAAACGTGGTTTGAGGGAGTTGCACTAAAGCTATAGAGAAACTAGACTAACCTTTGAAAACAAAACGCAGAGAACTACATTCAGAAATAAAACAGCATCCAAGTTTTACCTTGAATCCCAAACGGTCAAAAAGTAGAACCAAGCACAACAGGAGAAGCAGCCAATAGAAGAGTTTGTTATGTGAGAATCACAGCTTTGACCCCTCTCGTCTCTTTTTTTCACTCATCTCTAACTAGATTTGATCACCTGATAGCAATAGAGCGTGCTGGGATGGCTGCTGATGGCAATTATTACAATGCCAGGAAAGTTAACATTAAACATCTAGTGGATCCCATAGATGAATTATTTTTAGCTGCACAAACCATTCCAGGAGTCACAACAACAGGTATGTGCGACTTTTTGTGTTACATTCTCAGAAGCAAGAGAAACACAAAACAGGAACTCTTACTGGAAGTGAAGGAGAACAGGAGGCAGGTGCTGAATAACTGCTTGTGGGCTACAGCTGTTTGTCGTGGCTGAATTTAGAGAATGTTGCTGGAGAAAAATTAGAGGTTTCTATTGCAGGATTCTCACAACCAAAAAAAAAAAAAATGGAGGAGTTGATTTCAAAGTTAGTTAAGGATGAAAAAGCAAGCCCAGATGTGTGTATTATCTATACATCAGTGTGCATACATATGCTTCTCTAGCTGTAGCTTTTGATACTGACTTCATTCTGTATTTTATGGGTGAAAGGCTGCATAAAAAGTACGTGACTACTGAATGGAAACATTACATATTAAAAATATTGCAGTTATTTTTATGATTGTTATACTTGCGTTAAAACAGCAGTCTGGATAGAATCTTAGTTTATGTTGCCTTTCAGCAGTACATTCTTTTGACCAGGGCTTTCATATTTGCATATGTTATAATAGTGCCTTCTCTAACAAAATATACGTATAC